TCACACAGTGATCCCCCTGATGTTTCTAGCCAGTGATCCCATCTGGCACCATTCATAGTTATTACATTATTATTGGCTATATTTCCTATGCTGTACTTTGCATCACCATGACTATTTTGTAATCGCCAATTTGTATTTTTAATCCTTTCACTTTTTTCACCCAGTCCCTCAACTCCATCCCTATTCATCAACCAGTCCACTCTCTGTGTCTGTGGCTCTGTTTCTGTTTTGTTTGTTTATTTTGTTCTTTGGATTCTACATACAAGTTAAATCATATGGTATTTGTCTTTCTCTGACTGACTTTGTTTCATTTAGCAAACTTATCCTCCAGGTCCATCCATGTTGTTGCAAATAGTAAGATTTCATTCTTTTTTTTATGGCGGAGTAATAGTTCATTGTATATATGTACCACTTCTACATTACTGTATCCAATCATCTATTGATGAGCACTTGGGTTGCTTCCATATCTGGCTATTATAAACAGTGCTGCAATGAACACTGGGGTACAAATATTCTTTTGAATTAATGTGTTGGTTTCCTTTAGATTTATATATACCCAGAAGTGAAATCGCTGGGTCATAAGGCAGTTCCACTTTTAATTTTTGGAGGATCCTCCTTAATGCTTTCCACAGTGGCTGTCCCAGTCTGCATTCCCACCAACAGTGCATGAAGGTTCCTATTTCTCCACATCCTTGCCAACACTTTTTGTTTACAGATTTATTTATTTTATTTATTTATTTTAAATATATTTTATTTTTTACAGAGAGGAAAGGAGAGAGATAGAGAGCTAGAAATGTCGATGAGAGAGTAACATCGACCAGCTGCCTCTTGCACACCCCCTACCGGGGATGTGCCTGCAACCAAGGTACATGCCCTTGACCGGAATTGAACCCGGGACCTTTCAGTCCACAGACTGATGCTTTACCACTGAGCCAAACCGGCTTCGGCTGTTTATGGATTTATTGATGACAGCCATTCTGACAGGTGTGAGTTGTGGTTTTAATTTGCATTTCTTTGGCAATGAGTGAAGTTGAGCATCTTTTCATATGCCTGTTGGCTATCTACATGTGCTCTTTGGAGAAGTGTCTATTCAGGTCCTCTGCCAATTTTCTAATTGGATTATTTATTTTTTTATGTTGAGTAGTTTGACTGTGTTATAAATTTTGAATATTAACTCTTTTCAGATGTACAAAATTGGTACATTTTTTGTGAATTGGTGAATATTTTCTCCCTCTCAATAGGTTGTCTTTTTGTTTAGTTAATGGCTTCCTTTGCAGTGCAAATTGTTTTTAGTTTGACTCACTCCCATTTGTTTATTTTTTCTTTTGTTTCCCTTGTCCAAGAAGCTGTATCAGAAAAAAAAATATTGTGAAGAGAAATAGAGATTTTTTCTTATAGGAGTCCTACATTTAAGTCTTTAATCCATTTTGAGTTTATTTTTGTATATGATATAAGAAGGTGGTTTAGTTTCATTTTTGGCATGTATCTGTCCAAGTTTTCCAACACCATAAATTGAATAGACTATCTTTACATCCTTGTATGTTTTCTTGCTTCCTCTATCAAATATTAATTGACCATATAGGTGTGAGTTTATTTCTAGGCTCTCTATTCTGTTTCATTGATTTGTATGTCTGTTTTAATGCCCATAGCATGCTGTTTTGATGATTATGCCCTTGTAGTATAGTTTGATATCAGGTAGTGTGAAACCAACTTTGTTCTTCTTTCTCAATGTTGCTGCACCTATTCAGGGTTTTTGTGGCTCCATATTCATTTTTGGATTACTTGTTCTGGTTCTGTGAAATATGCCATTGGTATCTTGATAGGAATTGCACTGAATCTATAGGTTGCTTTGGTTAGTAGGGCCATTGCATGAGGTAGGTTCTCAGTGAATCTCCCAGTAGGGGCAAGTGTTGTTCACCAAACTGATACAAATTCAGACCACACCAATGCTGAGACTGAAGCCACTCAGCAAAATTCTCACTTGCAGGGTGTCCTCAGACCTTTGTGGTGTGGCGGCGTCTCAGGTAGTCATCGGGATGAGGGTATCAGTGTTCATCAGGTCCAAACAGACCAAAATGGGCCGTGTTAGTGAGGACACCATACAGGAACTGTAGCGCTGGATGGACGTGTAAGGGGAAAACGGTTTCCGCCCTAGAGCCACACAACTCGGCCTCTCTCTGATCTGCTGGGACCTCCTGATCGCCTTCAAGGAGAGTCTTTCCTAAGGGCCCAAGCTGACCACAGCCCGCTGACTCCTCTGCAGTGCCAGAACATGTCAGGACCCCAGGGAGTGGAGTCAGGAGTATGGGGCTAGTGAATCTCTCCTGGAGACAGAGCCCTCAGGGCATTAGGGGAGTGGCCCTCACCCCAGAGCCACTTCATGCAGTCTCTGACAACCCCTGAGTTCACCCTCCAAACTCCTTCAAGAAAGTCTTCACCAGGAGCCCTGGCAGCTGAGTCCTGGGCAGGGTGAGCTCTGTAGGGCGGGGCATGGGGAGTAGACAAGGAGAAGAGAGGGTGGGGTTATTGCATTTCCCCAGGATGTTGTAGTGTGGGAGGGAGTTCTGGATCCAGTCTGTGGGCAGTGTGGGGTTGGGACTCAGCACAGGCACCGTGGCAGCTTTCCCTTCTGATCTGTCCTCAGAGCCACACAACACAGTTGTCCCACAACTCCCACAACTCCAGTCCACTTTAAACCACAGCCCTCTGCTGGAGCCCAGGGTTAACTGGCCAAGAATGAGATTTTGTGTGCTGCCCCTTTAAGATGGCACCTTGGTTTCTAGTGGATTCCAGTCTCTACATGCTGGACAGAATGCTGGCTGATTTTGTTTGTTTTTTTGTTAATCCTCACCCTAGGATTTTTTTCCCCATTGATTTTTAGAGAGAGTAGAAGGAAGAAGGAGAGACAGATAGATGTGAGAGAGACAGATTGATTGCGTCCATGGGATGGGCCAGGATCCAATCTGCAGCCAAGGGAAGTGCCCTTGACCCAAATGGAACCTAGAACCCTTCAATCCCAGGGCCGGTGCTCTATCCACTGAGCCAAACCATCTAGGGCTCCCCGCTGATTTTTATAGCCAGATGTTAGTGGGCTACTCTTCCTGGCTCTGGTGCTCTGGGTGTTGAGACCCCTCACTGCTCAGGGGAGACCCCTAAGGCGAGATATTTCTTTGGTTTTTCGATGGCCGTGTATGTGTGTGGGCCAGCTTTTGTCATGTCTCTGCCCTTCTTACCAGCCTGGATGTGGCTTCTTTGGAAAATTCTAGTTTATAAGATTCTGTTCAGCTGGTTTTCAGTGGTTATTCAAGGTTGATTGTTCTAATTTAGTTGTAATTCCAGTTCAGACCTGGGAGGAGGTGTGTAATTTCCAAATACTCCGCCACCATCTTGGACCCCTCTTGTGACTTATAATTGTAGTGTTTACATTTTTGTTCTTAGTTAATTTATACATTTTCTTGGTATAATTGTACAGGTTCATGAGAATAAGATATTTAGTTATTTTTGTGTGGATATGTATTTAATATGATAATATAAACCGTGTAGTGGAGGAAGCACTACACTTTTTTATACCTTAGAAGCAGAGCCTTCCTTTGCTCCTGGCTTCCTTTGCTCTGAGCGACTGCGGCTCATCCTGAGTCCAGAGAGCAAAGATGAGAAGACATTGGGAAGTAAATGGAACTTAAAGTTTATTGGGATCATTTTTAGTATTCCTAGCTACCTGTGAAGTAGAAATTCAGGGGGAAATCTGAATTAAGAAGACAGCGGGATTTAAATTATTACCAAAAGAAATAAAAGGTGATGATGATGATGATTGGTGATTTATTGAGCATTTAGTAAATATCCTGTAGTGGGACTAAGCTATGGATTATTTTATTTGATCCTTAGAATAACCGTTTGAGGTAGGTGCTGTTACAGCCATCCTACTTAATACATAGGGCATCCAAGTGAGTAAAAATTAAGTACTTTTTCTGAAATTCTCAACTGGGATTGAAGCCCAAGTATGTTGCCTCTGCGCCTGAGGGCTAATCTGAATTAGAGAGGGGCAAGGAGGATATTCTAGGCCAGAAATTTATATCTAGAGGATGTAGGAAGGGATGGAATGTGTGTAACACCAGACAGGGAGGAAAGCAAGGGAGGAAGTTAGAGTTCAGTTATATGGCCTGATGGAGGAGTGGAGATTGAGAAATATTAATCAGAGTTTTGTTTTTTTTTTAAATGAGATCATCTTCTGATCCTGATGTAGGGATGTGCGATAAGACACCCTGAGAATGAAGCAAACAAGGTGCAGGATGACACACATTAAATATTTCTTTAGAAAATAACCATACCCATTGAGGGAGAGAGATTGAATGTTTGAATGCACAGATCTGTGAAGATATAACACTGCTCACCTCTGACACGGATCCTGGTATTAGTGATGATCATCAAAGGAACCTGAGCTTTGGTTTTATACTTGTTCTTGGTTTTCTGCTTGTTTGCAAGTTAGATGACTGTATTTATGTACTGAATTTTGAAAAGGCATGGAATTGATGCAAAAATAATGAAACAGGGGATCATTTTAGAATTTAATGTTCAGGTTATTTCTATCTCTAAATCTTAGGTTAGAAGATTGCAGGGCTGTTGAAATTTGTATGACCTAATTTGATGCAAGGGGTAAAGGGATACTCAAATTGTCACTTAATTGATTGAAAATATGAATTGACTGACTAATCATTGCTGATTAGTAACTTTTTTTTTTTTTTTTTTTTTAAGTGGAGGACTATTTGAAGTTTAGAAATCTGAGTATTGGCATAGGGATTTAAAGAACATTCTGGTAAAGCAGGTCCCTCTTTGGTCACCTGGCCCAGAGGTCCGGGTGAGGGATCAGAACAGGATGGAAAGCCATTCACTGTGCTCCTATTCCAGGGCCAAGTGAAGAGGCAAGTCCTCTGTGTGGTGTTCATAGTATTTTTTTTTTAATGCATAAAAAACTCTTAAATATTTGATTCTTTGTGTTGTAGATGGATACAAGAGATCCGGACTTCTGAACTTCTACAAAGATAAAATGTGCAAGTCCTTTGTGATGCTGAGGAGGTTGGAGCTGGACTAAATTGGGAGACTAGAAGAAATGCTGCTGTGAAGGGTATGTAACAAATTATAAAACCCAGTGCGTGCCGACCGACGATTGCTTTTCATCGCCAAGTGCTTCAGTGGGTTGGGAATATTGTGTGCTCTAGCTTGGTTGTGTTGGTGTATCTCCCCATGGCCTTTCTATGGAGCTTGGGCTTCCTCACATCATGGTGGCTGCTCCCATTGATACTGAGTAGAGCTGGGACAAACTGGCCTTGATGAATCATCCTGCTGAGCCCTGCCCCCACAGAAAATTCAGGAGCAAAATAAACATTGTCATTGTTTTGAGTGATCTCATTGAAACCTGCTACAGCATCACCTAAGGTAGATGTCATACACTCATTTACAAATAAGATGAAGTACCGTACCCAAGGCCACACAACGAGATGGGATTTGAATTTAGGGCTCCCTGATGCCAAGCTTGTGAGATCCACTCCTGCCCCAACTGCTTCCTCCTCTGGACCAGGAGCTGGGGACTTTCCTACCCCTCAGACATAACTGTTCTTAGAGAAAGCAAACCCATTTGGGGACAAGAGAGTAACTTTGGAGAAATAACTTTGCATAGTGTGTTGTGAGTCTGTTTCTTTAATTTGAACCCTAGATCAATGTCAGTATTGGTTTAAACATGCAATTTTTTTCAGGAAGTCATCTGCTTTCTCTCCATGAGTTTAGATTCTGTGGTTTCTGCTCGGGTTACATGAGATATTTTTTTTTCATATGTTAACGAAAAAAACACATTGAAACCTGTAAAGAATTTTAGTGAGTTTGAGCCAAACGATTGACATATGCCAGGAAGCAGAACCTCAATGCATTGAGATAATGTTCTGGAGAATGGCGGGTTACATTTCTATATTTATACATTGTAATCAAAGGAAAGGGCCTTAGGTGAGTTACATGAAATTCATTGGTGATAGATTAGGGAGGTGGGACCGAGAGAAGCTGGAAAACCTCTGGGATAGGGTAAAAGGTTAAATGATGGACTTGAGCTTTTTTTACAGAAATGGGTATTGGATACTCTAAGGTAATTAACATTGACATTTTACTTGATAACAATAACAATGAGGGAATGTCTTTAGGCCATTTGTTGTGCCCTGAGGGGTCCTGGGTAAAAAGGAAGTTACCCAGACATCTCACAGATAAGTTATCTTAGAGGCAGGAAGGCAGATGGGCTCAGTAAAGAGATCCAAGTTGATCTTTGTCAGGTGAAATATATGGGACATGACTACCCACTATAACCTGTTTGTAGTTAGATATTAAATTTTCAAACCATCTTTTGTGGTTATTTTAGGTCTCTGAGTTTGCAAGACTGCCACGCAGGCCTTCCCTGAGCTTGTCAGGTTAGCATGAGGCTCTTCTTTCACACATATCACGTAAAGTAATAATCATTTGTGAATTGAATGTTTCTATAGCATCAATATTTCTATTTTTTTGTTTGACTTCAGGCTCCTTGAGGTCAGGGCTTGGCCTTTGTCTCATGTCCCTCATTTCTTATAGCACAAACTCTAACTTGTGGTAGACAATGAGCAAATGTCAGTTAAATAAATACCAAAGAACACTGTATGTTATTTTCTTCAAGGATGATGATGATAAGAAGTACAAAATTCTGGGCATGAGACTTATCTTGGTGCTAAAGGATTGTCTTTGGAGGCCAGATGTTTCTTCTTCACTTCCTCTATCTTTCCTGTTAGAGAAAACATCTTTGTGTGTGACTTTTATAAATAAGTAACTTCAATGAAATGCAACAGTAAACTAAACAATACCAGGAACTGGCACGGCTCTGAGACACCACTTTGCACTAGGTTGTTATCCAAGTGGAAAATATTTTCAGATGTGAAATTGGAGAATGCACTTTGATATGAATGTTAAAATACAGCATATGTAACTTCTGCATACATCCTGGTCAGCTTTTGCCATGGAATTGGTGGCACTTGTCTTTCACCTTGTACTTAAACATGTGTGTGCCTGTCATGGCAGCTGCTTGAGAACTTTGAATAACTCTTTACATTGTCTAGAATGTCCAATACTTTCCCTAGGCTTAGTAGGTATAAGGCTCAAATAATAATGGATGCAGCAATAGGACTGGAATATGGGGATTTTTTTTTAATTGAGGATAAAAAAGTACAGGCAAACTGTTAGATAAATATAATTCCTTAATTATATTTTTATTGCCTAATCTACCAGTTAGCTTTTGCTGCCTAACAAACCACTCCAAGCCTTAGTAGCTTCAAATAATAGCCATTTATTTCGTTCATGATTCTACAGGCGGGCAGTTTGGGCTGGGCTCAGCCAGTCTAGGTAGGCCAGCTGGGCTGCCTGCCTCTCGAGTCTTCCATCAGCTTCCAGGTTGACTGGGAGCTGACTGGTCAAGGATGACCTCATTGGGATAGCTCCCTAGCTCTGCGTGTCTCTCATCCTTCAGCAGGTTAGTCAGGGCCCCAGCAACGTGAACATGCATGGCTTCCTGAGGCTAAGGCTTGAGAATAACACAAGGCCACTTATGCCACATTCTGTTGGCCCAAAGCAGATCACAGGCCAGTCCAGATTCGAGATGAGAAATATATTCCGCTCTATTGATAGAGAGTCTATATTATAGACTAATTGCTCTGAGAAGGAGGCCTTGATGGGAAGAGTTGTAAAACCATCTTGCAAAGAGCAGGCATTGGGGGAGGGTGGAGAATGGTGGCCATCTCTGCAACCTGCAACACCAAGTGAAATGCAAATGTGTACTGAGGGAACTAACATTAAAATGGAGACTGTAGAAAGGAAACAATTTGCATGATTTATAACAAGAGAAAACGAACTGGATTGAGAAAAGAGAACAGGACACTGAGATGGATACAGAGAAGAGAAGTCATGAGGCCCACCAAAGGCCAGGTTTGAGTGTCCTATCTGACAGTACCCCAAGGAGTGCTCTGGCCGTGTCTGGAGCAGGCCCAGGCCTCTGCCCATCATACCCAAGCGTCACTGGTGTTGGGGTTCTTGCGTCCCACAAGATAGAAATTGAGAGAAAACCCCAGAGAAATTTCCAGACAGATTTTATTAAGCTTATGCTTGAGCACAAGGGAGATAGCACGGAGGAAAGGAAGGTCCTCCAAACTCACGGGCTGGCTTTGCTTGGCTTGTGTGGGAAAGCAGGCTTGGGAAAAAGGTGGTCTTGCAAGGGGTTCTGGAGTGGAACTTTCCATGTCAGGATGGGGTTATTTCCTCCTCTGTCCAGTTACTTGGCAACTAGTGTGCCTGTGGGCTGTGGGGGCAAGATGGCCATGTAGCTCATTACCACCACCCCGGAAGGCCATGTATTCACCAAATCTTGACCAACTGAAAGTGCGGAAAAGTGGTTTCAACATCTGCTAGACACATGTGTCAAACACAAGGCCCGCGGGCCAAATCCGTCCCGCCAGGCCTTGCAATGTGGCCCGCACCGTGCTGTCATCACTGCACTCCGCTGCGTTTTCATCACAATGACAGTTTATGACTGTTCAGTAAACCATTCGGCCCTCGATTTAGGCTGGATTTTAGATTTTGGCCCCTTCTCTGATTGAGTTCGACACCCCTATGCTAGAAAGTGGTTAGAGCCCAGCTGGTGTTGCTCAGTGGTTGAACGTCAACCTATGAACCAGGAGGTCACGGTTCTATTCCTAGTCAGGGCACATGCTTGGGTTGCAGGCTCTATCCCTAGTATAGGGCATACAGGAGGCAGCCAATCAGTGATTCTCTTCCATCAATGATGGACCTATCTTTCCTCCCTAACTCCTACTCCTCCCTCCTTCTTCTTCTCTCCCCTTCTTCTTCTTCTTTCTCCTCTCCTCCTTCCGTCCTCCTACTCCTCCTCCTCCTCCTCCTCCTCTCTTCTTCTCCTCCTTCTCTCTCTCTCTCTTCTCTCTTCTTCTTCTTCTTCTCTCTCTCTCCTCTCCTCCTCTCCCCTATCCCCCTCTTCCCCTTATCCCCCCCCCCTCTCCCCCCAACCTCCTTCCTCCTCTTCCTCTCTGAAATCAATAAAATGTATTTTATAAAAAGAAAAAAAGTGATTAGAAGGAAGATAAGACATTTTTCTTAGGGAGTGGAGGAGAGCTACATTCTTATGGTTGGTTTATTGGTGTCCCTATGCCGTCTCACAAGTCCTCTGTCACAGCTAAGCCCATTGGAAATATCACCCCTCCCGAGCTCAGTCACCTGCACCAAGGAGCACACCCCCGCCAGCTTCTTCCCCTGGATGCTCCTCCTTTATCTCCGCTGGTCCTAGGTGTCTCCTCCCCCATGCAACACAACTTTCCTAACCAAATAGAATCCATGGAGAAGGCTTCCCTTTCGCTTTTGTCCTCCCTGTTCACTGTTCACTTAGGGGTCGGTGCTGCCATCAGCTGACAGATTTTAAATTGGTTTTGAGAAGATGAAATTCATTCCTTTTCTCCTCATTCCCTCTTTTCTTCCAGCCACCCCGTTCTTTCCAACACCAGGAGGTGCAGCTTAGAAGTCTGGTCATTGTAAGGAGAAGCAAGTCTTGCTTGAAAGCAGCAGCATTTATCGAAAGCTTGCTATTAAGTTGGGTCCTGTCTTAGGCACGTTACATATTCTTTCCAACAACAGCACTATTTTTGTCCCCATTTTATAGATGAGAAAACCGAGGCACGGAGTGGTGAAGTCATCTGTGTGTCACAGCACCTCGCACATTGAAATGCTTGATGAATGTTCATTATTTGTAAAAATGAGCTGTGTCTTTGTTTGGGTCAAGAATTAGGGTGCAGGTATTCGTATGGGCAGTGATTCCCGGAAGCACAGTGAGGAAGTTGAGGAATGGGATCGGGAAGGGAGGAGACAGGCCATACAGGTTGTGACAGTGAGCACGTGACCACTGTGGGTGATTGGGGTCAATCTTACTGGGGTCGTGACAGACTGCATAAGATACATCCTGGACTTGTCCCACTAAGGGACACAGATGTTGGGGTATTTGTAGAGAAATCATGGGGACCTTTTAAAAGTAATTGTGAATTTCATAATTGTGTCCTACATGCT